TTTTGCTTTATGCCTCCAGAAAAGACAGGCAAGTCCACAAAAAACGTCATAGAAAAACAGAGTTTCAGCAAAACGACACCTATTAAAAATTGAAGGTAATTTTAATTGATTTTATGAGTAGAGATATTCTATAAAGGCGTAGTGAAAGTGCATGACATGAGGAGAGTTAAAATGTTGAGATTAGTGGATTTAAACTATCTATAAATCGCATGTATCACAAGACAATTTGTAATACAATTAGCCTGCCATTACTATAAGAAACATTTTGTTTATATCACGTCATAGACAAACAATATTATTGATCCATATTTTTTTTTATAAATCATAAGTTTATCACAATGTAATGTTAAAAGATAAGCAAAATTATACTAAATATAGTTTATCGGCAACTTATGTATATTGTTTTTTTTAAGTTTAGACAATTAATTGAATTATTTTATAGTAAAGCTATAAGGAAGCATGAATACTTAAATTGTCAACGATTGTAATACACTGATAACTGTTGAATATAATTTGTGAATGGGGATATTATTTCCCACGGTATTTACCCGGTTACAGGTGAGTAGTTATGATAGTAAATAATAGTAGAACACATCTTTCCAGAGGTCATTACAACTAGGCGTTTGACAACACAACACATTCGTAAAGTTGATCAATTGAATGACTGAATGTCACAATTGTATTGATCACAGTAACATAACGTCGAAACATAAGGTAAATATAGGAAAGAAAGACTGATAAAATGTAAATAGTTCAGCAATAGGAATTGGTTTCATTTATTGTTCTAATGAATAAGTAAATGCAAAATAGAGCTTACACCCTTAATATAAATATGCTGAATGTCTGATCAGACATCGTTATTTTAATGTTATTTTGGTGACCACCGTTTTAATATGAAACCTGTGCATGTAACTTAAGAGGTTTAAAATTTGGTAATAATTCGTTGTAGCCGGGGGTTGTATTGTTTAAAAAATCAGATTTGTTTTGAAATCAACGAACTGAAGGCAGGCCCGTTAATTGAAATAATATTGGAAAATTAAAAGTCAAGTATATGTACAAAAAATGAACTTCGTATGGTTCCGGTGGCTAAAAAACAACTAACCAGTTTTGACATACACTAAACAGAACTTAATTGGCTGCTGGTACAAAGTGTGAGCAGAACTACTGAAATCATCGCATTGGAAAAGTCTTAATATTGTCTAAAAGACTGAGATGTGAATGCCCCATTGTTGTCTTTTTTTAGTAGTTTATTGTTCATTCTTTTAGAAGCTGTTTATACAGATAAAAATGATCGATTCAGTAAAAACGTGTTTGCTTGTGAAAGATACTACATGTAGTTCGAATGTGTTCGAACATTGAGTTAAGCCGGCGGTCATCTTTGACGCTTGCAATGTTTACCTTATCAAATCAAAACAGATTCTTAGTTTCATCTCCATTTTATTTTATTTTCTAATACTTTTGCAATTAAGTGCAGCATTTTTTTATTTTTTTTTTTGATAATGTAAATATAATAATAATTGTCTACGTTATTCATAATATACTGCAAAACTGTCTCAATCTCAAAGAATATCAAAGTTTATCCGAAAATTCTTTTTCATAAGACTATACATCATCATGATCATATACCTTAAAGAGAAGCAAAAGATACTTAAAGGGACATTAAAACTTATAGGTAAAGCATCACAGAAGAAACATGTATAGACGCAACGTTAGATATTGCTACTTCCACGAAAAATAGCCCTAAGTAAATATTTGACGGGAAAGTTTTCTTAGAAATGCTGAAATAAATATTTCAAATTATACATGAAAATAAAGATTGGTTCTTAAATTTTCACATTATGATAGAGAAAGAAGAAAAGAAATAATATTCATAGGCTTCGGAAGACACAGATTATCAGATATCAGAAAAAATGTTTACCAAGCGTTGTCCCATGTAACAATCTCGTTATCATAAAACTCGAACGATTCGCGAAATGTTGACGCAAGTCTTCGAAATTGTGCATGAACGTTCTAAGACGTGATATATTTCAGTATTGGTTTACATGGCTGTCTCCATTTAAAATTTGCATAGATATTTGGAAAGAATATGATGAACGGAAATGTTCCAGCGGAAATTTAAATTGGAAACTTAAAACATTTCAGTTAAAAAAAATAAAATTTTGACAGATGATATTTTTAAATTGTAAGCACTATCGTTTTGTAAGCTCCAAGAATTTTTAACTAATAAATAAATTGAGCTACAAATTCAATTCAAAACAATAGATTTGCAATGTCTTGCGGAAATGTCCGAGTAAAACTTTCATACCTTCACAAAACTTTTACGGCCAAAAAACAAAGATTTGATTTCGTGAAGATTAATTTTCGGCTTTGATTTCTATTCCAATAAAAAGTACTTTAAAAGTTAAAGTTGGTTCACCAAATTGTATTTAGATTATAGGGTTATCTATAAACAATACGGATTAATTAAAATGTCTTGCAAGGTTGTCGTTAACATTATTTGACGTCCCCACAAGCGTAGTATGTGCTAGGGACGGCATGAACTTCATTCGCGGCCTTCCTCCATTTTATGTAAATGTCCTGCTTTCAACAAAATGAAATGATGCACATTTTACAAAAATACACATCTATAAGACGATCAAAAAGTAAGAAAACTTCAGTATCATAACTTATACATGTATAAGCCATTGTATTGTCTCTTGTACCACAGCTTGAATAAAATCATACTCGGGATGAATATATAATGCAGCAATATTCCCCAAAAAAACACATAATTACTAGCAGTAAAATTTAATATCCTATGTAAATTATAAAATCATATTGGATTGGAATCTCACAGCATTTCTACATGTGTGTTATACTTTGCATTTAACCAATAAGGAAAGCAGGAAAGATTAGATAGTGCGCGTTCCTAATTAAACGTAATTTTTCTGTTACACTAAATGGTAGCAATATCTGACGTTGCGTCATTGTCTTTATTCACACCCGATGCAGTAAAAATGGTACTCTTTTAATTTTTATACTGTCGACGTATCTGGTATCGCTCCTTTTAATCTGCATTTCATTCCCTATTTTGTTGTTTGCTACATAGCTAAAATCGATTTATGATATTTGAACATCGTTAAACTACTTATGTCTAAATATGAATCTAATACGTTATAACATTGATATTGGAAGATATATTCACTAAAGTATCAGTACATGACTTGCGTTTCGGTATAATCACTAAGGATTGTTATTTAATAATGTGGATCTTCTGTACAGAGTAGAGAATATAACGGTATCAATGTTTTAGTTTTCCTACGATTGAAGATTCTGCTGGACAATATATATGTACTTGTGTATGGATTGACATTAAGTTTTTAATTCCAGAGTCCAATAGAAATGAATGTGAGTTAAACATAGAACTCCGATCAAAAACCATATAGATTATATATTTGGGATTTAAGAACATTTTCTGTTGACAATATGGGGTCCATATTCCTCGTACTCTGCTTTTGTGATCCACATGGATTGAAATGTAGATAGTGATGCAAGAATTGATCCACCAATTTATGAGGAATCTTTTCTTTCTGGAGGCGCAACTTCATTTGTTAGCATGCGTTCAGGAATCAAAGTTGCAAATTCTTTCTGCAAACGCTTTGCAAATCCAACAAGACATTGAATTTCTGTAAATTGGTGATCACCGATTAAGAAAAAAAAATATTTCCATAAGCCCTGCTTTTTTGAATATCGATATGAAATATGCCTATTGGTAAGAATTGGCTTTGACATAGGAAATGATAATTTGCGCCATTTTTCAGGAAGCATTGATGACGATTACAATTTGCAATGTGTACTGTTCTGTACATTATACAAAACAAGGGTTTGTGGTTTGAATTCCAACGAGGCACCTACCTATCAAAGTTAAATGAGGTTAGTATATGTAAGCAATTATAGATCATCAAAAATGAGAAAACCCGTATCGTATAGTAGTAGTCTTTGAAAGGCCTTGACATGTACATGAAAAGGTTGTATCCGAAATTTGTATAGTTACCGCTCCACTTTACATTATTTAAGTGAGTTCATTCTCAAATATCAATCACAACTTATACATGTAATTGTATAGTATCACATGCTGATGGTGATTGTATAAGATAGACTGTTTATTCTGAGTCAAAAAGAGGAAGTAATTACTACACAAACAAAGATCACAATGTAAAATAGAATTAAATGTTTCGGCAAAAAAGTAAAATCACAAAAATACTGAACTCCGAGGAAAATTCAAAAAGGAAAGTCCCTAATGAAATTGCAAAATCAAAGCTCAAACACATCAAAAGAATGGATAACAACTGTCATATTCCTGATATGGTACAGGCATTTTCTTATGTAGAAAATGGTAGATTTAACCTGGTTGTATAGCTAGCTAAAGCTCTCACTTGTATGACAGTCGCATAAAATTCCATTATATTGACAACGATGCAAAACCCTTGCAAAATAGGAATTTAGAAAAAGGAAGGAAGGTCAGAGCAAAACTATAACGAAATAAAAAATAACACAACCATTGAGCAATAAAATCTACAATTATTTATACTGAGATTAAAGAAATAACAAATATAACATGTGTATAATATGAACGAGTAATTTCCTTTTATCAATTTTTGTTGTACATTACTTTGCAATGTACCCCGGTATTTTGATAAATCATTTTTTTTGTTCATATAGTCTGGTTGTTATTGCCGGATATATCTGTTTAATCAACTGTAAATTCATATAAATCAATAGAGATGCATTTTAAATCGTGATGTGTTAATGAACAAAGAACACGAGCAGAAATTGAAGTGGTTGATAATAACGGTTTTCCATTATAGACAGATGCCTAACGATGTGTCAGCACTCAACCATTTTGGTAAGGACTGTGTATGCTGTAAACATATACAAAAGAAGTGTTTAACTGCCTTGTCATTACCTGAGAACACTGTACAACCGCCAGATATAAATATGTTTGTATAATAATGTTTTCTTCAGTCTATATCAACTGCCAATATTGAGTCGTACAATGACTTGTGTATACCATCAGATCCTATATCTAAAACAGAACAAAATGTGAACCATATTATACACGCCACATACTATCAAACTTTACTCACCACTGCGTTTGTACTTACATGAGCAACACGGCGGTTGTCACATAAGTAGCAGCATATGCTTACCCTTCTGGAGCACCTAATATCAGATTTGTTATTTTAGTAGGATTCGTGTTGCTCAGTCATTATTTCTATGTTGTGTTTCGTATACTGTCGGTTGTCTTTTTTACCATAGTGTTTAGGTTTATTTTCAACTAGTGAATTTGAATGTCCCGTTTGTAGCTTACGTAACCTCGAAGCCATCTTGATAGTACACTTTCTTTTGATAAGAATTTGCTGTAATTTGCATTAAACATTTACTGTCATATTAAAATATTTATTTTTCGTCTAACATATTATTCACTTTAATTAAATGTGAAGGATTGAGATATCTTATATTCTTTCTAGTGATACTAAGAGGGGTATAAGCTGTCAAATTCATAGCTACTGAATTAACTCAAATTACTTCATTTGATATCAATATTAGACTATTTACATAATTCTAAAAGCTATATAGGAAAACAATCACCAATGCATAAAAGCAGAATAAAAGGTTTGAGCAATACATGCATATTTCAGGACTATTGACGTTACCCAGTTTATTGTTGTAAAGACCGTAGTCAACTGTTGATGGATATATAGATAAAATATAAGCAGACACCAGCATAAATTTACGTAATAGTATTATTGAAATTTTTCAGCTCTGCCGAATTAAAATTTCAATATTCAGCTTAAATTCGTGTTGCAAACTATATTTTTTTTTGTCAAAGAAGTTGTTTGAAAGTATCTCTAAGGAATCAGAGTTAAAGTTATGCAAGGGGGAAATGGGGTTTAAAATTTAACAAGGCACTTGATCACACAGGACTGCTAAAGAATATTAAAATTGTTACATGTGACTTTTATACTGTGGCATATAACGCAAGGTTAACATTCTGCAGATGAATACCAAATACATACATATAGAATAGATATTTTGTCTAACTCCTATCGTTTCAACGTATCTTTACGTCCCGGACATTCAAATGTTTGTGTCTAAGCGTTCCTGATGACAGTAATTTCAGAAAGACATCAAATTTTCGAAATCAATAAGCGTTATTATCGTTTGACAAAAAATGGCGGTCAGTCTTAATTCTTAATTGTTGAAGAAGCCGGAGTGCTCGGAATGAACACTCGACTTTCGGTAATCATTCAGAAAACTGATAATCCTAGTCAATTAAGGGCACCTGCCATATTCGGGATTCGAGCTCACAACCTTGGTGTTAGTAGTTGTACACACTTGTTGATTGGTCACAGAAATGTTCTCTTTTATGTAACAACAATCATTATTCCGTCTTAATTATCTCGAATCTGACATTCAATCATTCATTATCCCAGTTTTACCCGAATGGAAACACGGCGAATGTCACGGAGATAGTCGGAGTTCCCGGAGAATGTTCCACTCTTTGTTACTACAATCAATATTTCGTTTTGATTTCCTCGAATCTGACATTACGATTGCGATTAATTACCTCAATTTTACTTGAATGGAAAACACGACAATTATCACGATTTTATAACTGGCTTTTGGTTAAGTTTGTGTCAATTATTCCAAATTTTTCTGTGTAATACTAGGTTAAATGTCCTATTATGATTTATCTTTTCGGGGCTGGTTTATCTTTTAGGGGCAATAAGGATGATATATATATAAGTCTTCAGTTCATGAACCTTTGGTATCCTTTTTTCTTAGATTTACCTTACCTTTCGAAGGTCGAAACAACATCCCTGGACACCGGAACCTCTCTTGACCAATAGTAATCAAATTTCCATCTGAAAGTTCATATGATTTATCAACACCAGGAAAACATTCTGACAAAATGACTTCTTTTGAGTAATCTTCCGCAACATAACACAATTTTTCTTTCATTTCTCTAACAACTTCAAAACCACCTGCAATAAATATGTGTGTGATATTTAAGCACAGCAAAACCTTCATGTCCGTAACACACATGTTGTAAATTAAAAAGAAAGTTTTGTTTTTTTGTGGTGTTAGTTTCAGAGTCCTTTTTAACATAGCTCCTGTTTAATAATATATGATTTCCCAAAACAAAATAGAAACGAAATGAAAGGTCAAATATGTTTTTCTGTAGTAGCAAACGAAGAAGTGACTTAGAATGTAAGATTTTTTTATTTCTAAAATAAAAAAAAAAACTATAGATTCAACGTGTGAATTTGAAGAATTAATAATTGGGAACAATAAAAAAAGAAGACCAAAATATCAAGACGGGATAATAAAACCAGGGATAATATTCGAAAGGGCTAGTGGTACCTGTTCCACTAATGGCTTATGTTCTGTTCATCATAACACGTGTTTAGTAAGTACAAAGGGGCACTCAGTGTTGAAATACTCGAGGAAACAATTACGGCATTATACATTGATGCATTGTTGAGTGAAACATGTTTGTGGTTTTTATTTATAAACAGGTATGTTGCATAACAGTCACTGGGGCCGTCCGTATATTTTAAATAGTGACTTTACATGTTGAACACCATGGTCCAATAGCTTCCCTGACTATAGTAAGATGGGAAATAAAAAACTTGGGATTATCTTTTAATCTGTGTCAAATATACTACGTATTCAGATGATAAACAGAAATAGAGAGTTCACAGTGAAAGAATCGAAATCATCTCTATTTTTCGTAAAGTAATTTCCCCAAAAACAACATTTTTTTTCAATTATCAGTTACAGATATAGGTTCGTTTGAAGTATTTTTCACTACATCTGTAAATTGAAAATTGCATAAAACATGGTAAAATATATTCAAATAGTGAAATACTAATATATTACCAGTTGTAACAAAATCTTTTTTTTTTTTTTTTTTTCATGCAGCAGAGTCATCAAATAGTAGGTAAGGTCTCTGTCTATTAAATATAGTCTCTTAACAGCAGGTTATATACAATATCCTGAGAAAGAAAATTTTTAAATATAGGGTAAAAAGGCTGAGGGAATGTTCAACTAAAAGATGATTAATTTCTTCCACTTTGAGAAACATGATTGTTTTACTCATGAAGGCAATGATTTTAACCTGCCCCTCAAACAAAAATAACATGACCTTAATTGAAACGAGTGACTGAGGAAAAATAATGTTAATCCAATGCATGTATATATATATATATATATATATATATATTAAACTTAGTCTTCTTATGAATTATATACCTTATGTATGTACAAATGTGTCAATGTTTACGCCAGATGTTTCAGACACGAACATGAATATAAACAAATGCTAGGTGTCTTGATGTTATAATTTAGCCACGAAGTGAATTTTTAAGATTTGATATGCATTGTACATAGGAATCCAATTTTTATTGTGTTACAATTTTCTAAAAATTTCAAACGAAAGTAAAGATTAAAAACGAACACGCTCCTATTGTTGTCAATATAACATATGTGTAATGCAATTCTTTAAGACTGGAAAACAAGTGAGAGGTTTAGCAAGCTATACATCCTGGTTTAATCAACTATTTCCTACATAAGAAAATGCCTGTACCAAGGCAGAAAATATGATAGATGTTTTCCATTCGTTTGATATGTTTAAGCTTTTGAAATTACAATTTGATAAATGATTTTCCTTTTAGAATTTTCCTTAGAGTTTGGTAATTCTGTTATTTAACTTTTTTTTTAAATGATTACTTTACATCATGACAGTCGCATACTTCTGACTTCTAAGCTGAGGATTCCTTTTAGGACTTACAGTTTGTAAATTGGTGTTATATTAAAACGCATACCTGTGCCATTTTCTCTCTGTTATATTTGGATTAAGTGGAGGTTCTGTTAGTAGACATGGGTGCTCCTTTAGTGGTACCTCTAGATTACTCTTGCAAATATCATGACATATCAGTTCCATGTCGTCCCAATTTGTTACAATTCCATGTTCTATTGGATAATCCAGGGAAAGCAAACCACGTCTTTTCTGTGCCTCTTCTCCAACATAGTAACCTTTAGAATCCATACCCTGAAGAGAGATAAAAACATGGAAAAACTACCTCACTATAGAGAGATGAACAACAGTGGAACATAACAATATTCTGTATAGATAAAAAGCATGGAAATACGAACTAAACTTGCCTTTCCACATGATTCTTTACGATATGTGCACAAGGGGTTTTGGAATTTGAGACTAGCTTAACTCTACAAACTTTATGAGTTGATATAGCTCCGACTTAGACTTGTTCGGTATCATCCATCCGATTTTAAAATTTAACTTTGAACGTTCATAATGAAGGTAAATTCGGTAAACATAGTAAAGCACATTGTAAACATTACTTTGTAAAATTCAATTTTCATTTTACTAGCACTGGTTCTATACCCCTTCTGGTTCACATTTAGTCCCCGTAGGAATCATCAGAGTAGAAGTCAGTGCGTCGGTACTGTCATGATACCGTACTCTGACCAATAATGGTTTACTTTTACAAATTGTGACTTGGATGGATAGTTGTCTCACTGGCACTTATATATACCGCATCTTTCTATATCTATTGAATTCGCGGTTGATAATTTCAGAAAGAAACTAAGATTCCAATTCCCTCAAAACCTCTTTTTCGTCTGAGTCCCGCCTGCTGTGTTATAGACTATTCTGCTGCATTGAATGGAATTCCTACTCTGACCTTGGTCTTCCTATTACTGTGCTGTACCCACATACTGGGGCTTCATCACCAGCAAAACCGGCTCTGAACACATCCGAACCGTTGTCAATGACAATTGGTGAAATATCGTCATAATCAGACATTCTGAAAAGAAATCCAAACTCATATGTAGTGTTGTATTCCACAATTTATCATCAGCATTAAATCATTATTAAAACGAAAATACTAAAATATCAATAACATGGTACATGCACATGAAATAATACAAACAGACAAAATACTTAAGGATGTTTGCTACTCTGTTTCAAAATAACAAGCTTTTTAAAAGACTGTTATAAATTGATAGTATATAAATAAAGGAACTAAAAAAGCAGAAAAAAATGAAGGGTCCGTGTGCTTGTTTTCAAGAAATAAGCCATTGAAAATTTGGCGGGAAAAAAATCTCTCTAGACTTTTTCATACATTTAACATTGGCACCTTTTTTTTCAAAAAATATGAAAAAATAACAAGGATTTTATAGGATTTTCAAATACGGCTTTTTAAACTATATGTAATAAAATTATGGAAAGAAAAGTAGGGGTTATCGGGGAATTTTTTTTAATGGCACTACATGGATAAAACCAGAGGATTCCGAATATCTGGCAAAATTTCAAAAACAAGAGGAGCGAATATCCTTAAGTGGTGAATTGTCCAATTAAAAGTCATCAGATTCGCAACAAGGGCTCCATGGATATAAACTTAGGAGTTTGTATCTAAAATAAAGAGTTATAATTCAACTAAAACAATATTCTATCAAAAGTAACGAATGTAAAGAACACAATATTACTGAACGGAATTTAACATTATGAAAATTTATAACCGTCGGAAGAGTTTGGAAGACAAATAAAAAAAAATGAAGATCATATATAACAAATCTTCTCAAAAGTTGTTTAAAAAATCTCTATATGGGGCCAAAAAATCTTAGCGTAACATTTCATAAACAGTATATATACTAAACAAATAAACATTATCAAAAATATTTCATTTCAGAACAAAAGTGCTGACTTCTGGCCTTGTGATACCCTCGGGGACGCAACGTCTACCATTAGAGACGTCGACCCAGTGGTTGTGTTATTGTTGTATATCTAATTTGAATAATATACGCTTCAACAGTCAAAGTCCGTACTGGAACAAACAACTTACTCTAAAATAACGGTACAATTAAACCTAAAAAAGATATAATCAAAACTGCTGTTGTTGTATAGTACTAAATTTTAGAAAAAAACTTCACATTTACGTTAAATTTGATAAGAGTCATTTGAGGTAAATTTCATTTGTTTACTTTACATGCTTTAGTTTAAGTAGTATTATTTTTGTGTAGCTGTCGTTTCTGATGAGTCTTTTGTAGACGAAACGCGCGTCTGGCGTAAATACAAAATTTAATCCTGGTATCTATGATGAGTTTATTTACAACCACTGAGTCCTTGCCACTGCTGGTGGAGTTTTAATTCCCCGATGGTATCACGAGCCCAGTAGTCAGCACTTCTGTGCTGACATGAATTACCATTGATATAGTCATATTTGTAAATTAACTGTTTACAAAACTTTTGAATTTTTTAAATACTAAGGCTTTTCTACCTCAGGAATAGATTACCTTAGCTGTATTTTGCAAAACTTACACAATATAATCCTGGTATCTATGATGAGTTTATTTGAAAATTATATCTGCATGTTGAATATAGTTATAATAATTATTGTAGAGAAACTAATTTACTTATGTCACGGTATTCGTTCATAAATACACTATATATTTCTGAATTTTTTAATAATTTAGTTTTATCTTTTATTTGGTTATCTGATTATTTATGAAAGTTTACGGCGGTTTTGTACTAATTCTGTCAATATCATTAATTTTTTTATTTTGAAAACCTTTAACAATGCCATTGTTTTTATTCTAGATGCAATATCATTATTTAATCTTTCTTATTTTGATAAGCTTGTTATCCGACCAAAAATCAATTAAAACAATTTTCTAATTTTAAGATTTTAAAGGTTTTCCTTTTTAAGAAAACAGAAAATCTGATCTTTCAAAATGTTCTTAAGATTATATAATTTGAGATACTTGGACTAAACTATATATGTTTTCATTTCACTACAAAAAAAGGTATCTTCTGATAGAATATATAAATTTTCGTCATCTTGTTTGTACTGATTCTAAAAATAAGTTTTGCATCTTATTTGTTTATTTGTAAAGATTTTTAATTCTGATAACATAGATAAATGCCTTTTTTTATTCTGACAAACCTATTAACAATGATTAATAAGACCAAAATCAAAATAAACACAGTAACGAGTTCTGTAATTTTTAAGTTTTTTCTTTTTTGAATAATAGAAAATGTAAAACTACTTTCAAGATTGTTCAATAAATTAGTCGCTACATGTTATTTGATTACTTACAACGACATATATTTTTTCCATTTTTTATTCATTTCGGTGAATTAGCTTTTGTTTAACGTAGAGTAAATGTAACCTTCTCTCCAGGAACAACAGACCTTATTATAAAATTAATGATGTGTTTAAGCTAGCGTCCTTCCGTATATGTTTTACTAAGAGCGTGGTTTTACAACTTTTTTTCCCTTGTTTTATTAGTATTTAATAATACTTGCATATTTTTTGTACTGTCAACACATTGCTGCACCAAAATTCTCCACGGAAAGTATAAATATCCAACAAATATCCACTTCTGACTACATATATTATAACAAGTTAGATTATGTGTGTGCTAAAAATAGATAGCCTACACAACCATGAACAAGGGGATTTAATCCTATTCAAACTGGCTTAATATTTCCCGCGACATATTAATTAAAATAACATTAATAATTGGTGTCAGAATTAACGGCATGTGATAGTGACCGACAAATTTTATAATTTCAAAACTGTTTTTGAAAATTAAATTTATTAAACAAATTCTAAATTAAAGGGATTTTCTAAATATTTAGCTTCGACATTTAAACCCAAATAAAATGCAATCCCGAGTGTTAAAAGTGTAGAGGTTTATGTACCTCGAATTGTTTTTGGAGGGGTATTTTATTGGTTACTGGGTGAACTTTAGTGCTGCTGTATATGTTTGGTGATTCCTGGATAGCATATATGTTTGATTTATATTTGAGATAACATTCAATGAAATTTTATTATATAATTACAATTATTAATTTATTATATAATTACAAAAAAATTATATTATATTATTACAAAAAAATATATACATTGTACAGAACAAATATACATGCTATATAAAGAATCCATTTTATAATTTGTATATGCATCAAGATCATATCACATTAGTATCCATTTTCTGTTATCCTTTGAAGTGAAAAGCTAAAAAATAAAACCATGATTGTCATTTCGTTTTCTTTTATTCGTGTTATCTAAAAAAAAAAAGAAGAAATGTTAGGCTGATTTTCAATTAAAACAAAACATGGATACAATATATATATAGTTAAATTATTGTTTTCTGTTTGGTATTTGATTAATAATTTTAAAAGATCCATTTTGTAACATCTTGTGATCCGTTTATTTGGTAATCGCCAATTGCAGTCAGCAGGGTTTAAGAACATCAGTTATTCGACCTGTTAGTCAAATGCGTTTTGTTAAAATAGACTTTTTCACTTTTTTTTGGTCTTTTGGAAAATGTTGTTTGTGCTGTATTTAGACCACTCTACCAAGAAATTTGTTTTACATGCACACGTATAAAAATTACGGTTTTTATCCAACGCAATCAAAGGTTTGATCGTTGTTTTCAATTTAGACTTTTATATATATAGTTAAATATATATACACAAGTCTAAATTGAAAACAACGTTCAAACCTATGATTGCGTTGGATAAAAACCGCAATTTTTATACGTGTGCATGCAAAATAAATTTCTTGGTAGAGGGGTCTAAATACAGCACAAACAACATTTTCCAAAAGACCAAATGAGTGAAAAAGTATATTTCAACAAAACGCATTAGACTAGCAGGTCGAACAACTGATGTTCTTAAACCCTGCTGACTGCCATTGGCGATTGCCAAATAAACGGATCACAAGATGTAATAAAATATATCTTATTATTATTTTATTACCAAACAGAAAACAATAAACTTGCGGAAAAGATGGTATACCGCAAACATGAGATGCAAAAATTTGTACACCATATCCGGATTTCCACAACTAATGTCTCTTCAGTGATGTTAGGAATCGAAACGGTATTTGGAAGGCCATATAATTTACCTCAATTTAGGAAAGACTCTTGAATTTTGAAAGAGTCAAAATAGGATGAACGGATCATATAAAACTCGAAGGCAAATATGATACAAGCCCAAACGAAAAAATATGAACAAGTCTAAATTGAAAACAACGTTCAAACATATGATTGCATTGGATAAAAACCGCAATTTTTATATGTGTGCATGCAAAACAAATGTCTTGGTAGAGGGGTCTAAATACAGCACAAACAACATTTTCCAAAAGACCAAATGAGTGAAAAAAGTATATTTTAACAAAACGCATTTGACTAGCAGGTCGAACAACTGATGTTCTTTAATATATATAATACAAGCCCAAGTAATAAAACCATTTAACAAAAGCACAGTATATGTATATTCGTCTCTAGGTTTAGAAATGAAAAAAAAATATACAAGTTTACAGACGTGTCAACAATTTTATTTTTGAAAACCAAATTTTCTTTTACCAAATGTCCGATCGTACGGGAACGACCATTTGATTTGCGGTATATATAATGGTCGTCCCCTAGGACGAATATGGTTCATTTATACTAATTATTTTTACGTTATTTTTCATGGATCTATAATAATGTTTTGTTGTCTTGTGTTGTATGTTTTTGGGGATTTTATGCATTGAAACCAGAATATTTTTCATCCAAATCTCATTTAGCTCTTATCATACAATGTTGCATGTAATAAAGTTACATTAATTTACCAAAGATTTTCTATTGTCGTCTTGTTGCTTCTTGTATTCCTACTTTCTCTTGATGAATCGGAGGGAGAATGATTTTGCAATTCCTTCTGTCATAGGGTTCAGTTGACTGATAACTGAACAATACTCCACATGGTGTAATTCGATCCTCAGCTGCATATAACAGTCTTATTTGATTGTTACC